TGATGACATTTTAAATCAACAAATATTTTTTCTGATATGTCAACTCATACACAGATAATGGGATCCTTTGATTCGCTTTTTGAGCTTGGGGAGAAAATTGGAGAGTAAGAAACTTTTGAGAATTCTAATTAGTAGCGGAAATTTCGCCGAAGTGAAAGTTTGCACCTGCAACACGACAAAGAAAAAGTTTGCAGCAAAAATTATTCAGAAGAAACAAAAAACTGTTTTCGGTCATTATGATCCAGCATCGCGTGGTATGACGAAGCAGGAAGTTGAAAGAGAGGTCAACATTCTTCGTTCAATCAATCACCAGAATATCGTACAGTTACACGGATTCTATGAAAAGGATGAGAATTTCGTTCTCTTACTTGAACTGTGAGTCTGTACAATAACTGTCGCTTTTTGCATAGTCTCTTTAAGAAAGTTGGTCCTGAGTTTTTACCCGTTTATTTTTCTGTTTTCGTGTAGGATATATCGCCCTCAAGATTTTGTCTATAGACAATATATTGATAGTTTGAGTTACTAATCAATCTACTCCTATTTATGATACTGCGCTTCCAAAAGAAATATTAAGAATGTTAGGATATTTTATCGAGTTCACTTAAAACGATTGGTTAAACACCATAAATTTTTAGACTAATATTCTATCCTTGCTTTTTGATCTTCACATTTATGTTTTCATACAATACTTTGGTCCTTATACACTTAACATCAGTTTGATACTTATTTTAGGCATTGGTATCCAGAGTCTTTATTCGTGAATCATTAACTATAGCACAAGTTGAAAATGTTGCTAAAGACTCTATTATCGGCTAGTTTTGCAGACAATTTTTATAGTCTTCCCTCGGCTGCAAGCTAATTTATGACAGGAACCATTTCAGACAGCTAACTGGTCTCGAAAAGTTTGATAGTATATTATGTCGATTACAAAATTCAAATTTCGTAATCCATGAAAATAATATTTTGTATCAATTTTTTACCAAATACATGCTTGTTTTATTTTTACAGCGTAGCTGGCGGTGAGCTGTTCGCGCGAGTGGCTGAGCTAGAAAAACTTCCAGAGGAGGAATGTATCTTTTTTGTCTCTCAGATACTTCGCGGTGTAGAGCATCTACATAATCTTGGAATAGTACACCTGGATCTAAAAGTAATTTTCACATGACAATTTTATTCTACTTAATTAAACATATAAATCCACATTTGACATAATATGATTTCAATAATTCTTGAGGAATTTTTGGACTTCCTACATTTAAAGAACTTATAAACTTTAAACACCAATGGAAAATGCCATTCGGTATCCTAAGCGATGTTGATTTGTTTACATTTTTCGTAATCGAAGTTCATGTTTACAACAAAATCGTAATGTTTTTCAAAAACCAGTTTTTAGACAACCTTAGTTTTTTTTTATCAAGTAACGTTTTTCAGGGTAACAGTTTTCCTAGTTGGTAGTACAAAGTGTTCATAAACATCCTGCACATATCTATTTTGCAGCCGAGTGTTATCTATAGACCAGCGCGTCACCCCCTATTCTAAATTTATCTCAGGCCTGCATGATCATTTTTGTGTCCGCAAAAGATGTATTGACAACAGCTTTTGACCACATCCACTTTTATATCCCAGCGAAAATGGTTTACGTGCATCGACTGTGCCGGGCGAATTTTCTGGCAAAGACTTAGAGATATGAATCGATATGGGCAACATCATATCTTTTGTTCTTTCCATTGCGACACTTACACAATTACTAAATTTTTGAAGATTAAGCCTTAAATCTTAGCTAATTTAGATAACCTTTTCTTTGATTATTAAGATTATGGACCAAGGTATTTTGATGACATTGTATTGTTAGGTGTTTACTCTACCCCGGCCTTTCGTGGTTGTCAGCAATATTACGACATCTTGATAAAGAAAAATCGACTATACCTTTGTGATTTTATTCTGGTGGGAAAACCAGAAATAAAATGTGCGCAGAAAGATTGTGAACATATTTTGTTTGGCCACAAGAGGCTTTAAGTTGTAATTGCATTTTGGTCTCAGTTTTAAGGACGTAAAGGCTTTGTCGTTCACAGTCACATTCAATACGACTGCATGAAGGTTCAGTTGTTTTTAAGAACACTCTGTTTATTTACTAAGGCACTGTTTTTGTATCGGTTCTCAAATGGTCTGAGATGTTATTTTGGTGTAGAAAACCGAGTGTTTCCTGCATCACTACTTTACTACCAGCAACTTAAATACCTGTCAATAAGTAATAAAATAGAAATCGAAGGCAGCAGTTAGTGGCCAGTTCGATAAAACGTCAAGGGTGTGCGCGATTATATTTATTTCCGCACAAAATAATTCTTTCTGCAATTTCAATTTTGAGAACAGAGTTTGATGCACTATTCTTTTGCAGATAATTACATGGGTGAAACGTCATTTTAAAATTTTGGCGTAAGTAAATTCACTTCATAAGAACTCTTTTTAGTGTTCATCTTATACTTTAACTTGCGCTTATTTATCCAAAAGTTTCTGACGTTGTTGCCATGGTGATTAAAAGGTATCCGAATATGTTCTTCAAGCACTGCTGCGGATGCTTGGCAAACGAAGCTTATGTAGCCGCTCTCATATACCCCTAGCCCCAGCATTTTGTGCTGCAAGAACGGTGGTAATATAGTTTTGTGGGGTGGGGAAATAGGATAGGCAGAGAAGGAAATTTTTAGAAGTGTAAAGTGAAGAAAT